TGTAATTCACATGTCATAGAATTCATCCACTTAAAGTGTACAATTTGTTGGTTTTCTTTTTTAACTAATCAAGTGTATAACCATCACCACATTAGTTTTTAGAATCTTTTCATCAGCCCATAAAAAACATATGCTCTTTAGCTCCTACTCCTCAATCTGCTCTCCCCCAAAATTCCTCAGTCCCAGGCAGCCATGATTGTCTTCCTGTCATGTTGATTCTGGACATTTCATAAGAATGAACTCTTACAGTAAATATTTAATGTAAATAAAATCATGCAGTAATTGGTCCATCTCCTTTGATGTAGCATAATGCTTTCCAAGTTTGTTCACATTGTAGCATGAAGCAGCATTTTGTTTATTTTTATGAACTATGGTTGAATAGTATTCAACCATACCATATGGATGTACCTTACCACATCTTGTTTGGGCAGAAAATGGGGAATGAGTACCACATTTCTTTTTCTTTTTCATGGTAAAGCCTGCTTTATTGGTGGCAGTTAGTGCAAGTCAGTAAATGTTGACCCCTAAAGAAGAGCTATAATTTATTTATTGGTCCATGGAGCACTTGAATTAAATAGAACCACTGCTGGAATGATAAACTGAAGTCAGTCCTACTTCTTGTGACATGAAGCCATAGCGGGCTGATGCATGTCGTCTGCTGTTCCACGGACTGTAAGACTCATGGTGGCTCTGTACAGGTTCTCAATCGTCCTAATGCCGCCACCCATACAGTTCCTCATGTGGTGATGACTGCACCCCCCCGCCCCCCAGCCATAGCATTATTTTCATCACTACTTCATAACTGGAATTGTACTACTGTTATGAATCAGGCGACCCCTGTGAAAGGGTTGTTCGACCACCAAAGAGGTCGTAACCACAGGTTGAGAACGGCTGCTGTGGATGCACTGGACCTGTATGATCCTCCCGAAGTAGCTCTGCTTCTCTGAAACTGTTTTCAAACATTCTACGGGAAGCAGAACTTCAGGCAGTTTGATGAAGAGCCTGAAGAGCCCGTAGCATCCAGGCCCTGTTAATACCCACTAACTGTAATAACTGAGCACCAGTTTCTCTTTCAGGTGTTGAAAATGTTCTAAAGTTGATTTTGGTCATGGTTACGCAACATTGTTACTCTACTAAAAACCTTGGGGTCATATATTCAAAATTCTATAGAATATTAATTATCTCTCAGTAAAGCTGTTATTAAAAAACAAAATGTTCATCATCCTAAATGGTAGGCTCAAAATTAGGAAACTTCTTAAAAGCAAATCCACACACAAACACGAGAATCTTTGTGACTTTGGATTTTGCAAAGATTTCTTTGATATGGGTCAAAAGCACAACCTATAAAAGAACGAAGTGATGAATTGGAGTTAATCAAAATTAAAAAATAATGCTCTTTAATTTTGAAGACCGTAATTACATGGAGCAACTTGATCAGTTGGCATAATGTAGTTCATAAAGTTTATGTTCTACCTCTTGGTTTGGTCAATGGTGTCTTGGTTCTTAAAGCTTGTGAGAAGCCATTTAAGCTGTAAGTAGTACTGGTCTCTACACAATCTAGATCAGGAAAGAAAGAAAGAAAGAAACCCAAAACTCAAAGATGAACGTAGTCAACAGGACGGAGAGTCCACAGGAACCAGTCTCAGCACGCTGGGGTCAGAAAAACTAGATTATGCCTCATTACAGCCACTGACCTTCTGATCAGGGACACAATAGATAGACCCTAATACTGTAGAAGAAAATTCTTAAAACTGTAGACTTTGGGGGAGGGGGAAGCAGGGAGGAAGGGGAACAAATGGGGAGCAAATAACAGGGCCTCAAGTAGAAAGCAAATGTTTTGAGAATGATGAGGGAAACAAATGTACAAAAGTGCTTGACACAATGAATGTATGTGTGGATTATGATAATTTTACAAGCCCCCCCAAATGATTTAATTGAAACAAAACCAAAACAAAACAAAAAAATTATAGACTTAAAATTAGACTGGTTGAGACCAGAGGAACCCCCAAGATTATTGCTGAGCTATGGAAACTACTCCCAGAGGTCACATTTTTAGCTAAAGAACAGATTGACTTGTAAAACCAGCAATATCCCCCTGAGTTCTGAAATTTTCGATGTGAGGCCAATCAACATATCCTCTTAAAGCAAAGAAGAGGTGATAATAGGCACTGGTAAACTAGATGAATGGAAATGGAACAAGCAGAGGGAAGTAAGAGAATGTTGACACATTATGAAAAATGTAACCAATATTGTTAACTGGGAACCTAGTTTGCTGTGTAAATCCTTCACTGAAAGCACAATGGGAAAAAATTATTTTGAAGTAATGTTCTTCCCGAGGGCGTTGGAGAGATGAGTACAGACGATGAAAGGCTTATGTAAATCTGACTTGAACTGTTGAAACTTTGGGAGTTGATCCCCCTCTGATGCATGCTGGACCGGATCTGATTTTCAACATTTTCTGTAGTTTTTGCTCATTCATATTAGGGTGTATCTCAGAGGTGTTATGTCATTGGAAGTCAAGTTGTGTTACATGTTATTTTGTTTTTTGGTATATGAAATGCAGGACTGATGAACCTATAGGGACAGCAAGTAGAATAAGGGTTTCAAGGGGCGGGGAATGAAGTGGTGGAGGATGGAAAGTAAGAGGGAGACAATGCCAAGATGACGTTCAGGAAGAAAAGGAGTGTTTGCAAACTAATTGTGGTAGCAATTGTACAATTCTGCTTGCCGTGATTGAACTATGGAATGTATGATATATGTGTTAACTCCCAATTAATGCTAAATAAATAAGTAATGTTCTTTAAAGGACTGTTAAAAGAATGAAAAGAGAGTACATACCAAAGGGGGAAAATACTTGTAAACATCTACTAAAAAACTACTTAAAAAAAACAACTACTTTTTTAAACCACTACACTACTTTTTTTAACAACTGCTTTTTTAGCTTTAACAGGTCATTAAGATTTTATTCTTAAAACTTAAAGTATGATATTTTCAAAATGACAGTTTTTAGAGTTATCGCATCCCACAAAAGATCCGTAGGTTTCTTATGATCAGTGGGAAACACTGAATTGTAAAAATTAATAGGTTCTGCACTGCAGGATTTCTGTGTTAATTTACATTTTTTAAATTTGCATTTTTTTATACTGCAGAATGTAGTAACCAATGTTTGGATTTATTTTATGTTATTAATCCTAATTAGAAAATATTTTAATCTCAAAAACTACTTTCAAATTAGTTTGATCAGTTTTCAAAAATGGTCACAATTTAATTTTCTCTTTATTAAATAACTGATTGTTACTTTTCTCAAACTATTAGAAAAGTGACTTATCTCTTGAAAACATGAGCCCCATTACTCTTAGCTAGAAGAATTTCTGAGGCCAAAATAGGGTTTTCTTAAGATTGTAATTTCCTCTACTCGGATCTTTTATAATGCTTGCTTTTTTTTTTTCTAGTAGTTTACCATCGACATTATGAATGCTTTTACCTACACTTAGATCTCAAGCACTGGTTCTAGATTTGGACTTTCCATCTTCCGTGGAGCATTCGTAGTCAGTCTCCTGCAGGACCTGAACTTCAGGACATAGCACCGCCTCTGAATGGTGTGGAGGAACTTGTATCAAACTATGAGCCTACTGGGTCTTCATGTCTAGAAGCCCTTCAATCATTATTTGTTAAGTGTGGAAATGGGAAAACTATTGATGTTAGTGGAAGAACTTAGCTTGAGATATATCAGAACGTCATAATCCTTGAGTTTGTGGGTTTACTCTGTTTGCACGTCAGTTTCTTGAGTTCTAAATATGCTCACATATTGAGTTTTGTTATTTTTTATAACTTCGTGATTTAACTCACAAGTCATACAAATTACCCCTTTAAAGTATACGATATGTGCAAACCTTCACCACTATAATTTTGGAACATTTTCATCATGTGCATATTAGCTGTCATCCCCTCCTATAGTTACCGTTCGCCCAACCTTCAGCTGCTCTACTGGAGAAAGACGAGGTTATGTGCTCTTGTAGAGATGTACAGTCTTGTAAACCCAGTATCGGATTGCTCTATGTGGAGTCAACTTGATGGCAGTGGGTTTGGGAAAACCACCTCTCGTCTCCCTCTGTCTCTGTATATTTCCTTATTCTGGACATTTCATATGAATAGGATCTTAGGCATGCTTATTGAAACTTAAAATTTTTAATATGCAATTTTGACTTTTCTTGTGCACGTACATAATGGAAATGGATAAAGTTGGTGTGTAAACAACTATTGTTATTTTTTACAATTTTCTGTTTTCTAAAGGAGCCATGGTGGCATAGTGGGTTACACATGAGACTGCTCACTGCAAGGTCTGCAGTTTGAACCCACCAGCTGCTCCTCTGGAATGAGGCTGTCTGCTCCCATAAAGATTTATAGCCTTGGAAACCCAAAGGGCAGTTCTGCCCTGCCCTCTAGTGTTGTCATGAGACATGATTGACTCAGGGTTTTCTTTGGAGTTCTGTTTTCTACCATATCCTAGGGGATTATTCTTATTCTCTCTTTTGATTTAAACAGCAATAATAGGAATATTTAAGAAGCGTTAGTTCTACTAAGGATTTTTCTTCATTGCTCATTTTATATGACAATTTTATTTAACATTCCCTCTACCCCTTCCCATTTTTGAAGTCCCCCCAAAATGTGCCTGACCTCTATAATGAAATTATACTCTACCTAGATAGTTATTTCAATTTATGAAAGAACTTTTCTGAGACATCCTGTTGTTGACTTTCTAAATTAATTTTTAATTTAATATAATCAGTGATACTGAATCATACATACAGAAATTGTTGAGAAGGCAGAAGTTTTGTTATAGATATGTTTTGAAATTTATCACAATAAAACTTTCTATTAAATGGAAAAAAGTAACTGCAGATTTTAAGCTACCTCAATACTTAATGGTATAAATTTGGAAAAGAAATTGATTTCTCTTTTGTTCTTTTTAATAAAGCTATTCCATTTTTCCTTTGCAGATTCAAAAGCTTTGTGACCGAGTAGCTTCATCTACTTTGTTGGATGATCGGAGAAATGCTGTCCGTGCTCTCAAGTCATTGTCTAAGGTATAATACTTTATAAATAACTAAGCTGCTGAACGTGGATATTAATTACTTTCGTAACACCTTTCCTTTTTATACGTAGAAATATCGTTTGGAAGTGGGCATCCAGGCTATGGAACATCTTATCCATGTTTTACAAACAGATCGGTAAGTTTCTTGTTCTATTATTTGTCTTAATTTTTCTTAACATTTCATCTGATTTTAGTTTCACTGTCATAATTTCAGACAAAATTAGCATATTAAGGCTATTAAAATGTTCTTTTCACTTATTTCAATGAATTTATATTGGACATATAGTGTGTATTATTGTACTAAGCTCAGCAACAGGACAAATGATCTCTGGGACTATGTAAAAATAAGATGAATCTTGAGTTTATGTGAATGCTGGTGAAATACGTTGGTAAGGACTGTGAAAGCTGTTGCACAACTCAGAATATGATCAGTGGTTCTGAATCATACATACAGAAATTGTTGGGAAGGCAGAAATTTTGTAATATAGATATATTTAAAATTTTATCAATAAATCTTTCTATTAAATGGAGAAAAATAACGGCAAATGTTAGGCTACCTTACTACTTAGTGGTTCAAAATAATATACACTAATTAGCACAGCAGTTTCTATGATTCGGAATCCCCGAGCAGCTCAGTTGGGTGGTTCCTGCTCAGGGTCTCATGAGGTTGTATTCAAGATGCCATCCAGGACTGTAGCCATCTGAAGTCTCGACTGGGGCTGGAGAGTCTGAGTCTAAGGGGCTCACTCACATTGTGATGAGCAGGAGGCCTCGAGTCCTCTACGTGTAGTCGTTGTCCATAGCGTGACTGGACCACTCTTAGGTTCTGGCAGCTGGCTTTTCCTAGAGCGACTTAGGATCACAAAAAGTCGCAGTGCTTTTTGTGGTCTGTCTCAGAACTGACATGTTATCAGCGCTGCCACAATGTATTCTGACAAGCAAGTTACTGCGTATAGTTCTTAAGTAGGAGGAGAATTAGTTTTAAAAGGAGCTATATCAAATAATTTCCTTGTTGCCGTTGGGTGCTGCGGTGTCTGTTTCACTTCAAAGTGACTCTTGTACAGTGGAGCCAAACACTTCCCAGCCCTGTGCATCCTCACAGTTGTTGTTCTGTTGGAACCATTGTAGCAGCACTTCTTCCTGTGTGTCAGCGTGCCTCCTGCAGAGGTTTCCTCCTTTGGGCTGTCCCTCAGCACTCATGATGTACTTTTCCAGGGACTGTGACCTCTCCTGATAACTTGTCCAACATATATGAGATGAAGTCTCATGGGCCTTGTTCCTCAGGAACATTATGGCTGTACTTCTTCCAGGACAGATTTGTTAGTTCTTCCAGCAATCCCCACACTACTTTCTTTGCCAACACTAACTCAAATGCATCAATTCTTTTGGGGTCTTTTTCATTTTCGAACTTTTAACATATGAAGCAATTGAAAATATTGTGACTTGGGTTCAACACACCTTAGTCCTCAAAGTGACTTTAAAGAGGCAGCACACTTGCTCAATGCACTGTGCCATTTGATTTCTTGATAGCTGCTTCCATAAGCATTGATTGTGAGCCTAAACAAAATGAAATCCTTGACAACTTCAGTCTTTTCTCCACTTATCATGATATTGTCTATTGGTCCAGTTGTGAAGATTTTGATTTTCTTTGCATTGGGTAGTAATCTGTAATGAAGCCTGCTGTCCTTGATCTTCAGGAAGTGCATCAAATTCTGCTCACTTTGAGCAGGCCAGATTGTGTCATCTCTTCATCTCAGGTTGTCAATAAGCCTTCCTGCAATCCTGACGCCATGTAGTCTAAAATCTCAGATTTTTCTGCTCAGCATTCAGATTAAATCAGTATTGTGAATGGATGCGACTTTGATGCGCCCCTTTCCTGATTTTATTTATTTATTATTATTATTTTTAATCATTTTATTAGGGACTCATGCAACTTTTATCACAATCTAAACATACATCAATTGTATAAAGCACATTTGTACATTCATTGCCCTCATCATCCTCCAAACATTTGCTTTCTACTTGAGCCCTTGGTATTAGCTCCTCATTTTCCCCCTCCCTCCCTACTCCTTCATGAACCCTTGATAATTTATAAATTATTATTATTTTGTCATATCTTATGCTGTCTGAGTCTCCCTTCACCTACTTTTCTGCTGTCCATCCCCCAGGGAGGAGGTTATATGTAGATCCTTGTAATGGGTTCTCCCTCTCCTCTCCACCCTCCCTCTACCCTCCTGGTATCGCCATTCTTACCACTGGTCCTGAAGGGATCATCCATCCTGGATTCCCTGTGTTTCCAGTTCCTATCTGTATGAGTTACATCCTCTGGTCTAGCCAGATTTGTATGGTAGAATTGGGATCATGATAGTGGGGGTGGGGAGGAAGCATTTAGGGACTAGAGGAAAGTTGTATGTTTCATCTTTGCTATATCGCACCCTGACTGGCTGTCTCCTCCCCACAACCCTTCCCTTTCCTGATTTTAAACCACTCAGTGCTCTCTTATTCTGCTCAAATGACTGCTTCTTGGTCCATGTACAAGTTCTACATGAAAACAATGAAATGTTCTGGAATTGCCATTCTTTTCAATGTTATCCATAGGTGGTTATGATCCACACATTTGAATGCCTTTGCATTGTCAGTAAGTACATAAATAAACATGCTTCTGGTATTCTCAACCAAAATTCATCTGATGTCAGCAATGTCATCCATTCTGAATCCACTTGAATTTCTGGCAGCCCCCTGTTAATGTACTACTGCCACCATTGTTGAATGATCTTCAACAAAATCCTACTGTATGACATATTAATCATCTTGTTTGATAGTTTTCACACTCTGTTGGGCCAACTTTCTCTAGAATGAGCAGATCTCTTCCAGTTCATTGACCAGATAGCTGTCTTGCACATTTCTTGGCATAGGTGAGTGAGTGCTTCCAGTGCTTCATTGCCTGTGGAACACCATTTCAATTGGTATTCTGTTATTATTCATTATCTTGTTGAACACCATTTCAATTGGTATTCCTGGAGCCTTGTTTTTCACTATTGTCTTCAGTGCACCTTGGACTTCTTTCAGTACCATTAGTTCTTGATCACATGCTACTTTTTGAAATGTCTGTATGTTCTTTTTGGTACAGTGACTTCATTTTTTCGTCTTTTATTTTTTTGGATGCTTCATGGGTTAATATTTTGTCCTTAGAATCCTTCAGTATTGCAACTTAAGGCTTGAAATTTTTAGTTCTTTGAGCTTGAGATATGTATTCTTCCTTTTTAGCTTTCTAGCTCTAGGTCTTTGCACATTTCATTTTTATATTCCACTTTGTTTTCTCAAAGTGCTTTTTGAAATTTTCTCATCAGCTTTTCTACTTCATCATTTCTCCCATTTCCTCTAGCTGTTCTACCATCGAGAGCAAATTTCAGAGACTCTTCTGACATCCACTTTGATCCTTTTTTCCTTTCTTGCTTGGCTTTTTAATGACCTTTTGCTTTCTTTATGTATGATGATGTTGCTTGGCTTTTTAATGACCTTTTGCTTCATGTATGATATGTTGATATCATCCCACAGCTGGTCATGTCTTCCGTTATTCGTGTTCAGTTTGGCAGATCTGTTCTTAAGATGTTCTAGAAATTCAAGTGGAATATATTCAAGGATGTATTTAGTTCTTGTGGACTTGCTTTAATTTTCTTCAACTTCACCCCGAGTTTTTGTATGAGTAATTGTTGGTTTGCTTCACAGCCAGCCCCTGGCCTCCCTTTGGCTGCTGACACTGAGCTTCTCCATTGTCTCTTCCCATAGATACAGGCAGTTTGATTCCTTTGTCTACCATCTAGCATTGTCAGCATTGCTGTTTATGTTGTTGATAAAAGATGTTTGCAATGAAGAGATAATTGGTCTAGAAAAATTCTATATGCAAACTCTAACTTCTTATTTTTCACTGAAACCAATTTTTCAACTACTGTTCCTTCATTTTTGTTCCCAACTTTTGCTTTCTAATTGCCAATAATTACCAGTGCATCTAGATGACATGTTTGGCTAGTTTTAGACTAAACAACAAAACAAAACATTGCCATCAAGTCGATTTCAACTCATAGGACAGAGGAGAACTGCTCTGGGTTTCCAAGGCTGCAGATCTTTATAGGAGCAAGGAACCTTCATCTTTCTCCTGTGGAGCTGCTGGTAGTTTTGAACTACTGATCTTGGGGTGGGAAACCCAACTTGTAACCCACTATGCCACCAGGGGTCCTAGAAGTTGGGAGAATTCTTCATCAGTGTCTTTAGTGGTTGGTTCATAAATTGGGGTAACACTGGTAGTAACTGGACTTCCCTAATCGTATTTAGATATGTATTTTTTTGCTAAACAGGATCATTCAGTACATTATATTTTGTATTCTATTTTCCAATAGCATTATCATGGATTGTTATAATACTATGTCATTAGCATCCTTTGAAAACACATAATTTTTCATTTCTCTCCTTTTAAAATTATTTTATTGGGGGCTTTTACAGCTCTTATAACAATCCTTACATCAACTGTATTAGTCACATTTGTGCATTTGTTGCCATCATCATTTTCAGAACATGTTCTTTCTACTTGAACCCTTGGTATCAGCTCCTCTTTTTTCCCCTCCTTCCCCCACCCTCCCACCCTTGAGAACCCTTTATTATTATTTTCATATCTTACATCATCTGCTCTCTCCCTCACCCACGTTTCTGTGTGTCTCCCGGGGTGAGAGGTTATACATTGATTAATCATTGCGGTGAGTGCCCTCGTTACTCTCATGCATCATATATAGATTTATTATAATTGAACTATATATTTTTGACATATAGATTGCTTCGAGTTTCTCACTACTATAGGTATACTCTACTCTCACACATGCTTTTCATGTTGTATGCTGTTTTAATAAATGGAATTAAGATTTTACATAGTATTGTCAAATAATTCTCGGAAAAAAAATTGTAAAAGTTTACTGTCAAACCAACAGTGTGTAAGTTTAATTATTTCTTTTTTCTAGGTCAGATTCTGAAATAATTGGTTATGCTTTGGACACACTATATAATGTAATAGCTAATGATGATGAAGAAGAAGTAGGTACGTTTCCACGTATTCTTACTATGTTAATAGATTTTCTGTACATAAAATTAACAGCATCGTGAATTTTTATAAACTTATAAGTTGTGTTTTTTGTTTATTTTGTTATGCCTTTTTTAAATCTATAAAGTGAGGACATGGGCTTATTCCTAGAAAAATATCTTTGAGATGATTGCTTTGCGTTTGATTTGAATTTGAGATACAATTAAATTTTCCTTTCCTGGGATATATTTTTCTTCTTTTTGTATTTAGTTTTAGTTAAATAGTATGAATATTATCAATTTCTAAGTAATCATCTTTGACTATTGATTAAAAAACAAACTTTTAAAAATATGAATAAAATTCATTGAAAAATTCCATTTTCTTTTCATTTGATTTTTCCATGATTTTTTTCTTTTGCGTTTTATTTCCTGGTATGAAGTTGGAGGATTCATGTTCTAATAGATTCTTAAACTCTTACATAGGATTATGTTAATTCATACAAAGCAAAAATTTATTATTAAATTGGGGAAATTTTTTCTTTAGGTTTGCTTGATGCTAGATGATGTGAAACAGATTGAAATCTATACATTTATTTAGTGCATTTTTATTTTTCTCATTTAAATTGCTTGAATACTTAAAGGATGATAGTCTTTATCTTAAACTTATTCTATTATCCGTATGTGAAACGCTTGATTGGAGGTGTGTACACATTTTGCTGAGTAGATTGCATAAACAGATGCACGGGGTGGCGTTCCACAGTGCTGTTGAAGAATGCAGCCCTCAGACGGAATTGGCGTATGCAGTAGGACATGCTGGGTTTTTCACTGTTCTAGAAAGTCAGAAAAATGGATAGGGTCATGACTTTCATCAGTCTAATTTAGAATTATTAAGTGACCTTTACAAATTCTGAGTAGACAAGAAAAATACAAAAAGAAGTAGAGGTAATATGTTGATCATAACTATTTTATTAAAATAAAAACTGCAGAAGTATATGTAAATATTTACTCCCATGGGTATTACAGAATACTAGTCATATAAACTAGCCCTGGTACATAGTGGGTGACATGTTGAGGTGCTAACCATAACGTCAGCAGTTCAAAACTATCAGCTGCTCCATGGGAGAAAGACGAGGCTTTCTACTCCCATAAGATTTGCAGCCTTGGAAACCCACAGGGGCCGGTCTACTCTGCCGTGTTGGGTCCCGTGAGCCTTAATGGACTTGATGGCAGCGAGTCTGACTTGGAGCTGCTTTGTGTCGGAAGTCACAATGCCTTAGCCTTTCAGAGAGCCTTTTCCTTGAAAGTTTCTATTTGAGACTTTGCTTGCAACTCTACTTGATGAATTCCTCAGGAGGGATAGCTCTTTTGTGAGCATGATTTGGTACCAAGTGAGAAAATAGGGATGGGCCGCATGAGAGCACTTAGTTGCAGTGCACCCAAGAGCACATTGTAAAGAAAAAATCATTTAGCAGGTGAGAGAAAATGAGAAAGTCCCTATTTTTAAGAAAATACTTTGTCCTCACTTTTTTCTTATTGATTGATTTGATTGCTTCCTTAGTTGTTTCAGACGCCAAATTAAACTTTTTTTCCAGTTAGTGGAGATGTTGTGGATAATTTTTCTGTTTAATCAAACATTTAACAGCAAAACTTTTATCAGATGGTCTTCCTTTCATATATGTTTATCAAGTTTTTGCTTCTCTTTTTTTATTTGGGCTTTTAAATTTTAATTCCCCAAGAAATGTTGGCTAAGATTGAGTAAAATAATGTTTATATAAAACATGGTAGAATCGTTTCTTTCTAGGGAAGACCAAATTAGAAATTTAGATTTTCTTCTGAAAATATACTCATTTTGGAATAATCAATTTAAGAAAAGCTAGATATTTGTGAAGTGTCGATTCTAATATTTTTTTCTTTACTATTCCATCAAAAGGTAATTCTGAGCTGGCATGTTGAACTCATTTTAGAGTTCTTTCTTTAGCTGTATTTTATAACCCTTTAATGATAAATCTGTCACATGGCCCTGAAAACAGACCATATGCTGTTTTTTAAGATATATCTGATATTTTACTAAAATGAAAGAATCCCCTCCACCATGAGATTATATGGTGTATTTGACATTTTTAAACTAATTTTTTATTGTATACTACTACATAAGAAATCATTTTCTTGATCACCCACTTTCTATTTATTTATTTTTGTCTACCCTTTCAGATGATGGTGAAGGTAAAAGATTGCATTTTCATATGCATGATGTTTCTAGGTATAATTTATCTTCATATAAAAGGACACTGTCAAGTGATATTTCTTCTAGCTGTTGAAATTTCTTGCACTGTAAAGGAATTCCTGAATTTAAGAGGAATATTTAATAATCTTATATTGCTATTACTTCCATGGCTCTATATTTGTTCAATTTCCAGAACATAGAAAATACGTTTTAATAAAATTAAAACGTTTTCTCTTGTGGGATAATCTGTGGGCATTTCCTAGAAAAAAAATGAGGCATTTCATTTAAAAGTAAAAGCAATAGTTAAATATGTATACATAGGTATGTATACATATTCACCCATATACATTCACAAGAATGTATGTGTTGATATTGTCCCTTTAAAATAATGCATGCACAATAATATTCTGGTTACTTACATTTTTGACACTTATTCTTAGAACTCACCCATTATATTTCTTTTCTGGTGGTCTGTTTCATGTCCATTTACTTTTAACGTTGATGATTCTCTCCCTTGTTATTAAAGAAACCAAGTTGTTGTTTTTTTTTATTAATCAATTTATTAGAAACCAAGTTTTATTTTATTTTTTCTTACCAATTTTCCTGAATTGCTTCACTTTTTTAAGATGAAGAAAATACCGTTATCTAAAGTACAGCTTAAATAATAACGTAATAAAGCTGTGTATGCTTAAATACAAACTAACAAAACAAACTAACATATTAATGTTTCTTTTGTGGTGTTTGAGCTCTTTGTTTGAAATCAGAAAATAACAGAGCAATATGCGTTGGCTTTTGTTACACTAAGCTATTTCCTTGGCAGGTAGTATAGATCAGTAAGTAGTTCATATGTCTTTTATTGTGTGATTATTCTTATGTGATGAAGCTTTAAAGTGCACAGTGTTTTTGTGTGCATTGTCTCTAATCTTTGTAGCAGCCTGTGAGGTAGGTGATATTATTCTGTCCCTAAAAATGAAAAGATAGAAGCCCAGAAGTTATCCAGCTTGCATAGTATCATACATTAAGTAAGAACAGAAATTTAAAGAAAATAGAAAATAGTATTCCATAGATTTCTGATTGGCTAAAATTTCTTTATATCTTTCTGACTAGATTATATCTTAAATCTTACAATATACTTTTAATGCAATAAACTACTAGTTTATAAAAAATGTTTTAAACTGTAGTTGGCCACAGTGTTTCTTAAAAAAAGGTTACTTGATATCCCTGTAGTCTGAGTTAGAACTCAAGACTATTAGTGTATTTATTTCTCTAATATAATTTTGTTGTTCATAAAATAATTACCCTCTTGGTTTGGAGACAAGTTCCCACTGAGAAGATCCAGGTTGTTTTTAATTATAAACTCATTTTAAGGATAAATGTATCAAGTTTAGTTACAAGCAGGCATAGAAACCATTTCCAGAGGTATGTAAACAACACCAACCCCCTCCACCAAATTCACTGTTACCTAGTCAAATCTGACTCTTAGTGATACTGTAAGACAGGGTAGAACTGCCCCTGGGTTTCTGAGACTGTCAAACTCTTTACAGAAGCAGAAAGCCCCATCTTTCTCCTGTTGAGGGGCTGGTGGTTCTTAACTGTGACCAGTCCAAATCATAACCGACTGTACCACAGGGCCCCTAAGAGGTATATATGGACTTTCGCAAAACGTTTATTTTCACTATGATAACAAGGAGTGGTTTGATTTTTATATTATTTTATGTTTAAATTTATCCTACAGTAAAGGATCATTTTACTAAAAAATAAAGTTTTCTCAGGAAATGCTTATTGCAGGCTATTAGTGATTATATTTTACTATAGTTTTAAATTACATGCATATGCCTCTCACAGCCATAAAATGGTAATCAAAGAACTTAGCAAATTTCCATGTTAAGCTACACTCCTGGCTTTCAGAATTCAGCCATTAGTTCTGATACTGGACCAGGGCCATCGGTCCCTGAGTTCACCTACTAGAGAGTCTCTCAGTAGCCAGAATAAAATCTTCTTTATCTGTGAGCGTCATCTCGACTGTATTTACCACAAGAGAAATAAGGCCCTTTCAGAGATTTGGGTCGTTTAATTGTCGAGACTTCCTTTAGCTCTGCTTCATCAGTGGAGCTTGCTCTTTTCTGGCCTGAGAAAAATAAAGAAGCTCAGCCAAGTATAGACGCCCACCTTGTAAGAATGTAGGCATCTGCCATTCCCAGGCTGTGGCCTGTTTGGGGCACCTGGCAGCCCACTGCAGTCGAATCTGTTCTGGCTCATAGTGGCCTTGTCAGACACAGTAGAACAGTCCTGTGGAGTTTCTGCAGCTAAATCTTTCTGAGAACAGAAAGCCTTATCGTTTCCCCACGGAGCAGCTGGTGAATTTAAACCATCAGCCTTATGGTTTGCAGCCCAATTCTTAACTCATACACCACTAGGACTCCTATAAACCAGCAAACCAGGCACACTGCCATCAAGTCTGTTCTACTCCGTGACCTTGTATAGGGTTTCTGAAGCTGTAAATCTTTGTGGGAGTCGATAGCCTCATCTTTGTCCTGTGGTAAGTATAGGGTGTGAAAATGAACTTAAATGCTATGATTTTTTTTTTTTTACTTTTTTCTAGTAGACACTTTTTTTCTATATCCACAGTATGTACTCATAATATATGTGACACAATCCAGATGATCAGAAACACAGATAATCACACACCTGTATTCTCCAGTTCTTTACTTTCCTAGATATTTTCTTTCTTTCGTTGATTAAAGGTTCTGAGTGGCTGAAACACATATTACTCTTGGGCTATTGTGTTAAGTTAGCTTGTTTACTTGTAAGGGTTTCACAGACGTAAAATTATATATCATACATTTCAGTAGTTGAGTCACAGTCATAAGAAGTGGGCAACCATCAGTGCAATCAGTTCCAGTACATTTTTCCATGTACTCATTGTTGTTAGCATCCCATTTCCCACCAGTCACCCCTGCCATATCCAATTCTTATCTCCGTATGTTTACCTATCCTGGTATTTACCTACAGAAAAAACATAAAAAATAAAATACAAGCAAGTGGATTCATTCAACAACAAAATGAGACAGAGAAAAATCTCAGTCAAAAACAAAGCAGAAAATCTTAAAACTGGAACCGTTATACCTTGGATCAAGAGGGAAATCAATGACAAGGCATCAACATTTTAGTCTCAGTTTCACTGCAGTCATCCACCCGACAACTACTCTGTCTAATAACAAGCCTTTCCTTCTCTGGACCGTAGTCAGAGGACATTCAGAGGTTTCATCCAAATGGGGGACACAGTGAATGGGTTTTGAGCTTTCCCTGTCAACCATAGCCATCTATAAACCTGGGGTTCAGAATCTAAGCTCTAATACCATATCCCCACCACCACTTCTCGGTCAGTTCATCACACTATGGTGGCTTGTTAGTTGCTGAGATGCTTAAGGCTATGTCACTGGTATTTCAAAGACCCACCCGAAGTGAACAGAGCTTCAAGACTGTGAAGAAGCAATAGGCTGTCCATTTTAGAGGAATTAGCCACTGGATAGGATCAAAACATTGGCATTACTGAAAACTTACTGAATAGAAGCAGAACATTGTCAGAGATAGTACCAGAAGATGAGCCTCTCAGGTCAGAAGGCACTCAAAATTGAACTGGGGACGAGCAACCTTCTCAAAGTAGAGTTGAATGTCATGTGGATGGAGTCAGGCCTTCAGAACCTTCATTTGCAGATGGGGCACAATTCAAAATGAGAAGAAACAGCTACAAGCAGCAATTAATAATTGGAACTTGAATATATAAAGCATTAAGTTTCTGTCACCGCTCATTGTCATAACTTTAGTATGACAGGGTCACCCAGATTTCAGTATTGCTTGCGACTATAATTAACTGAGAAGGATGATCTGGTAATAGAGCACCTTATATGCAAAAATCACAGTATTATATATTACTAATGGTAAGTTATACCCTCCCCAAAGAGGGGCAATAACAGACGGTGCTCAGTCCTGTCCATGATCACTGGAATGCAGTTTAAATCAGAGATCACCTACGTTCAGCTGCCTACACGATATCTGCAAGTGTCTCACTCCTGCCCTCAAAAACTAGATTTTTAATTCTCTCCATTCTCAGCTTGTTTCTTATCTCAGTAAATGGGGCAACTCCTTTCACTTTTTCATGCCAAAATATCGGAATGTTTCTCCCCTGCCCACCCCCCAATCCCACCATGCAGCGTGACAGTTCTTTGCCATCTATTTTCATAAAAATGAACCATGTGGTGTCAGTAGTCTTCAACCTTTACCTGACTGCTGCTGCTTAGCCTCTTTTCTGTGCATCTCCCACAGACTAGTCCCAGCCCAAGTGCAGAGCAGCTTTTTTAAATGGAAACAAAAAATAGTGTCATTTTAAGGTTCATAAACACTCAATTCTTTTAGCGATACAAGAGATGATTAAGAGAAATAATTCTCAGTTGAAAGTTCTAAAAAGTTTTAAATACGCTTCTAAAGAAGAAACCAGCCCAACATATTGGAAATCACTTCTTTTCTGGTTTGGGTCTCTTTATCTTTTCTTACGGAATATTAGATGGGATTAGGTCACTCTAAATTGGAATCAACTCTATGGTAACTGGTTACTGGTCACCACTAATGGTTATTGGATTGCTTTGCGTTTCCTGTCATCTACTGTTTATTTTCTACCTCTTCCCTTCCCCATTTTGACCCTTTAAAACAAATTATTTAAGGATTAATAAGTAGGTTTGATGTTGACTGCCTACTCTGTTGGTTTATAGTCACTGCTTGAAGAAATATGCGAAGGCTTCGAAACATTTAGCAGATGCTACAATTAGCAGTGCCTAATATGAGTGAGGGGACAGCAGATCTTAAATGATAATTTGCTTACAAATATTGCTTTAATTTTTAGTCTTCATTTAAATTTTTCTGACAAACTATGTTGAAAAATGTATCTAAATCTAAAGACTTATGCATTAAGAAAAAATACATAATATTTAAAGAATAAATAAGAAATAAATGTCAAATTCTTGTTTATTACTAAATAATTCCATATACAATACAATAATGTTATTTTTAAAGGAGATATTGAAGAATGTGCAGGTGGTTGGTTTCATTTTTAACTTAATTATTTAATAACTCAGCAAGACCTCTATGTCCCTCAAGAGTTCTGGAGGTGAAGGATTTTGAATTATAATTTATTTATAGTTAACTTTACCCTCCTGAGCGATAGAGTCCTGTGATTTTTTTTTCCGGACCAATCTGTACAACAATGCAATCTATACAACAATGTAAACATCATTCTTGAGTTAAAATATTTTCCCATCACCCAACGAGTTAACACTTTAACCTAAAACTCTCCTTGAGAACATGTGAAAATTTTAATATTTTTTATTTGAAGACATTTGGTAATTAAAAATTACTGAAATGGCATTGAAAGTTACTTTAAGGCATTAATTGCCTTCCACTTATTGTGATTTTTACCAGCTATCCTGTTGAATTGTTTAAATACCAGGAAAATGATCATTTCTGCTTAGCTCCTACAACAAAAAGGTAATTTAAGGTAATAAAGCACCATATTGACAGTCTTTTACCTTTGAATGTTACAGAAGAAAATTCCACAAGACAGAGTGATGATTTGGGAAGTCAGTTTACAGAAATTTTCATTAAGCAGCAAGAAAATGTCACTCTCCTGCTGTCTTTATTGGAGGTAAATAGGGAATCTGGATATTTTTGTCACTATGGTAAGCTTTCTTGTTGCCTTTTCCTGGTGTTACTGAGGAAGCAACATATCCATGCCTCTTCAAGGTAGCAAGAGATTTGCATGCATGTTTCAAAAAAATGTGTAATCTGTTAAAATACTGGTTTTTAATTTATTTCTAATTTTACAAAATTCCGTTTATCCATCCATTCAGTTACATTTTAATCCATTTGATCAGTTTATATTTCCTATTTTCTTTTTTATTACTTTTTTTCTCTTTAGAGTCACTTTGTTTATCCTGAAAATATGAATTATACTTGTAAATGTTTATTCTTATATTACAGGAGTTTGATTTCCATGTCCGCTGGCCTGGTGTAAAGCTTCTTACTTCTCTTTTAAAACAACTAGGACCTCAGGTGCAGCAAATAATTTTAGTCAGCCCCATGGGTAAGTGATTTACCTTCTTTATATCATTTTGTTAGAAAAATGAGGACTATTTCCTAGAGAAACTAAAGCCAAACCCAATGCCATCAAGTGAATTCTTACTTATAGCAGCCCTATGTAAGTTTTCCAAGCCTGTACATTTTCGTGGGCGCACATCGCCATATTTTTCTCCTGCAGAGTGACTAATGGGTTTGAACCACCGACCTTGCAGTTAACAGTCTAATGCTTACCTGACAGCACCACAAGGACACTCTGTTTCCTAGAGAGGGAGACTGAAATGATTTATTAATAAATTATTTTTCATTTGAATTATCATTTGCATTTTTGGCTTGCTTGTATTTTTCACGTTTGTTTTTTTGTAGGTGTTTCAAGATTGATGGATTTACTAGCAGATTCCAGGGAAGTTATACGTAATGATGTAAGTACCATTTGGAAAAAAGAGTACAAGAATGCACCCCCTCTTTACAAATGATCTATGGACGTATAGGAAATTAGACTAAGAAATTAGGGTTGTTGGTATTGAAAGCCACCGTTTTTCTGTTTTTGTCTTATCTTGTGGTTTGGGTTAAGCAGACCATTTTGCTATTCGAATTTATTTCTCTCACAAGTTTAGCATTTCTTCTACTTCTTCTGAAAGGTTGTATTTCCCCTTAACTGTTGTCCTTAGAATCCTCTCCTTCCCAGAGAGTGAAGAAAGGTCTGTGCATGTTTAGTTGTATAAACATAACCAAGCATATCATTTGGAATTCTCATTCTTAGTTGACTGAATAGATTTCAAAGGATTTTCTTCATACTTTTTTCTTAACTACAGAGCATATGAGGGGATACCCAGAAGAATCCAGAATCCCCCCACCCCACCCCACCCCAAAGCTGTGTATTTACATTTTTTTTTTTCAAAACAACCTTCTTATCTTCAAAGTACTTTCTATAACACTTAATACATTTGTGAAATCTGTGATTCCATTCTTGGAAACATTTTTCAAACTCATCTGTTTGGCTGGCTGACAGCACCTCCCTCATTTTTTTCTTCACCTCTTCTAAGTTATCAAATCGCTGTCCTTTCATGTCGCTCTGCATTCATGGAAACAAAAAGAAGTTCCACAGAGTGAGGGCAGGTGTTTGAGGCATGAGAGGCAAACTGTTTTTTGCCCCAAACTGGTGCACTGAGATGGCTGCCTGAGCAGGTGCATTGTCACGGTGACAAAACCAGTCCCCCTTTGCAACAAATCAGGCCTTTTTTGTCCCACACTGTTATGCAATCTTTTCAGAACCTCTGAATATCTAGCTTGATTAACTGGCTGACCTGGTGGAACAAACTCTAAATGCACAACTAGTGGACATGTTTGTCTATTTGGGAAGTTGTCAGGCGTCCAAACTCAGGTTTGTCATCCATGGACATTTCACATTTTTTGAAATGAGAAAACCACTCATGTACTTCAGTTTTTTCCATAGCGCTGCCCTTCTAAGTTGTGTTCAGCATTACAACAGTTTCTGCTGCATCTTTCCTGAGTAGGAAACAAAATTAACAGCCACACGCAGTTTTCTTAAATCAGCCATTACAAAAAATAAGGTTTGAGCGAAACTGCTTTTACAAAAAATTCACTGTCATCAGAGAACCTTCCCAGGCATGCCACTGGGTGCACTAACTCAGAGTGAGTTGCTTTTGCTTGCGAAAAATGTGTACTATGAAAGCTCTGCCCAGCGGAGCATTTTCCCGTGTTTTTTTTTCTTCCTCCGGTACCCACTGGTAAATCTACTCTAGAGTGTTTTCTGTATTGATTTTCTGTATTATTTGCATATAAGTTTTAATATCTTGACACCACATTATTTTTGTCGATTGAACATTGTTCCCTTACACCTTGATCAGGACTTTGTAGAAACTTCCATTATCTTTTAATTCCATTTTTCAATGATCCTTCTCTTTTAAAAAAAATTCTGTATCAGTTCATTTTAGGAGCCTTAGGCTGCTAACCACAAAGTTAGCAGTTTGAAACGACCAGCCATGCCATGAGAGAAAGACGAGGCTTTCTGCTCCCTTAAGGAGTTACAGCCTTGGAACTCACAGAAGCAGTTCGGCCTTACGTTGTAGGGTTTCTGTTGACTGAAAGTACTGAGTTTGTTGGGGTTCTGTGAGACATTATGTAGTAATGTAACTTACGAGAACTGTTTTTATTTTTTATAACTTTAAAAAAAACTATTATTGAACAAACTTCCATCTCCTAGGGTTCTGAGTATCCCGCACTAAATGTTACTGTATATCTTGAATTGAAGGGCTCAGTTATAGTTTTCTCTAGATCCTCCATTTAAATAAAAGGATATCTTACAAACCATTTATTAGAGAACTTATCTTTCCCTGGGTCTCTATTAGTATTATTACCATTCATTTTCATGTCAAGATACTACATAAAAGTACTCTTTTTTTTCTACTTAAGTGTATCGTCTTAGTTCTTAAATGTACTGTTTCTTTGAACTCGTCACCCTTTATTTCTATTTTCCATCTTTCCCCTCAATTTTTATGTAGACATAAAAAGATTATCTTCACTTTTATTAATTTTACAGTTAAGGGATTAAGTTGTAGTTTCATATTTTTGTTACAGCTTGTTGAGGGTCTTGGTAGCAGCCATATTTCCTTTGGTTTAAATAATTTATTTGAATTTGTTTGCCAATCCTTTTTCTTAGTTGCTTTCTCTAACAATGCATTGTAATGTGTCACAGTTGACCCCTGGGATCCGCATCCAGAGACACCTGAGTGGTATGGAGGCCACTGGCAGTAACAAGCGTCCTAGGATAAGGTGATCAGACGTCCCGCTTTTGGTGGGACAGTCCTGATTTTTAACAATTTGTCCCGTGTCCCGCCCCGATTTTTGGAAAGAATGCACGGCAAGCTAGGGTATACGGTTTTCAGCTGCCATGTGGCTATTTCGCCAGGATATGAGTTTTTTCAATGGTGTCCCGCTTTACTAATGTTAAAATCTGGTCACCTTTTCCTAGGATGACTGGGACAGTGTGCTGCTGCTCTTCCTCCCTTAAAATTCTCCCTCTCTTCATTCTTATAATCAGCCTTCTAATTGCACTCTTTAAGTCTTGTAGACACAATGGCTGCAACAATGAGTTCAAGCATAGGAAAAATTGTGAGGAAGGCTATGCAGGACCAGGCATTATTTTGTTCTTTTGTGCATAGGGTCGCTACAGATCAGACCAACTCAATGTGGCACTTAACAGCAACAAGCGCTGTACATATTGGTAGATTCTTAGCTCTGGTTTGTTTCAACTTGAAGCATTGATTGAGATGGGGATTTAGAAAGTCACTTAGTCACTTATAGGCACACTGACATGCTCAGACTTACTTAATGCTTAAAAAGCAAGTTACACTAAAACAGTAGTCACGGACAGCTTATTTCTAAGTAACAAACTATATTTCCTTTCTTTAATTTTAATTATATTTTATTGTGAGATGTAACACACAAAAGTAGAGAGAAAACACTAAACTCCTTCACCCAAACCCTTCAATGACCAAGATTTTATGACATTAAATTACCAAGATATTAGCTTCATGTCCCTTATCTCCACTCTACTCCTGATTATTTTTGGCTGGAGTATTTAAAGCAGTCAGCATAATTTGACACATACATGCTTCAGTTTGCATTTTAGGGAAGACATATATACATATGTGTACTTAAGTAAATATTTTCCTCTTATAAACTACAAGAACATTATCACTAAATTAACCAGTTAGTAATTTCTTCGTCTTCAACTTAAATAAGGTAACCCTTCATATTCCGGTCTCTTAATTGTCTCAGAAAGGTCTTTTAACTGTTGATGTCTTTGAATCTGGAGCCAGACAAGATCTGTTCATTACATTTGATTGTTATGTCTGTCAGTGCTACTAAAGGCTTGATTAGGCTCAGTTTTAACTTTTTAAAAAAATCATTTTATTGGGGGGGGCTCTTAACTAATCTTATAACGATTCATCATTCAATAGTATTAAGCACCCTTATACATAGTTACCAACAACATTTCCAAAGCAATTTCTTTCTACTTGAGCCCTTAGTATCAGCTCTTCTTTTTCTCCCTCCCTCCCCCATATCCTCCCCCCCAAGTGAATCCTTGATCAATTATGTATTATTATTGTTATTTTGTGTCTTACACTGTCTCCTTTCACCACCTTTCTGTTGTTCGTTCCCCTGGGTGGGGGCTATGTATCCAACCTTGTGATGGGTTCCCCCTTTCTCCACCCACTCCCCTACCCCCAGTCAGGTGTAACTTTTTGCTAGAATTTGTCCTAGGTGGTATTAGCAGTGTGCTTAATTTTGAACTGTATCCAAAACCAAATTCATTGCCATCAGGTGGATTCCAGCTCATAGTGACAGGAGACATATATATGGTTGTCTCCGACTTAGCATTCGATAGGTTCAAGTTGTGATAGCCAGATCCCTCCATTGTGAAGTTCTCTACCAATCTTGAATCTAATGGTTTTATCCACTCATGAGCATTGCTAGAGCAGTTGTTTTGTTAGGCAATCCAAAATGATGATATCTATATCTAATCGTATCACTTGTCCCCAGGAGCCCCAGTGCACTATCAGGTAAACATTGGACTGCTAACCACAAGGGAAGTGGTTCAAACTCACCAGTCACTTCATGGGAGAAAGATGAAGATGTCTGTTCCAAATGTATAGCCTTGGAAACCCTATAAAGTGGTTGCTATCCATTAGAATCAACTCAATAGCGCTGAGTTTAGTTATGAGTGACCCATTCTTCCCGTATTTATTAAGCTATAATCAACTGAAAGGAAGAACTGTACTTCATCAGCTAATGCTAATATTAAAATACAATCATACTGAAAGCAGGATAAGTAAATTAATCTCTTTAATTACTAATTTTCAACTTAAGGAATGGGTGCCCACTTATTTTCAGTGACCAATAAGTATACTTAATGTCTTAATAAGATTTTAGTGGATGTGTTTCATGAGAGCAGGAAATCTCTTAATAGTCACTTAAGAGAATAAGGAGAGGAAATTACTAATGAGAACTTAAGATGTGATAGATTTGATATTTATGTATTTTATTTCATTCATTCCTCATATAATCTGACATAGATTTTAGTACCCTTGTTTTAGATAGATGTATACTGAGACTTAGAATATATGTAATTTGCTTCAAGTTGCATAGCTAGTAAGTAAGGCAACTAGCTTTTTAAACCCATTTTATCTTACTCAGAAGGAGCTTTGACGCTGGCATTTTGAGCTCACCAGCCCCTTGTACAGGAGAAAGAGGTGGTCGTCTGCTTTCATAAAGGCTGACAGCCTGAGAACTCTGGGACAGTTTTACTCTGTTTACTGCCCCCTTTGTTAGCAATCAAACTCAAGTTGACAGGATGAAGCCGGAGAATTTAACATTAAAAATATAACTACGTTTGCCTTTTTCTCTATCTAGCTATTGAGACTTGACAGGAAGTTAGTGGGACAGACCCAATATGGCCATGAATCCATGCGTACCTGCTGGCTCCTCAACAGCTAATTTGCTTTGTCAGGGTTTTAATGACCTATTTGCTATTTCTCATAAGTTCCTAAGCGTTTTTGTTAAGATACTTGCTGTTGCCTCACTATTGTGATAATAGTGCCCCCTCAAGGGCTCATGAAGGTCATTAATAGTAAAATAAGGATAAATTGGAAACAATAAGTTTTCTTCTAATTATAAAGAGGTTGCATAATATACAAAAAGGATTCAAAAGTTTTTGGGGAAATGGAATTAAAAGCTGTATAATTTTTCCATGGACTTTTTGGAAACCCCCTCATAGGAATGAAAGCCAGCTTGCCTGTTGCTGATAAAAACTGAAAATTAGAAACAAAGTCATGCTGGAGTATTTTGAACATGAGCCATGAATTCTCATCTTTTTCTCAATTGGAATCAAGTGTTGGGTATTTGAAAGGCGTATTTTTTCAAAAAGACTTTCTTTGAGGACCATGATTTTTAAAATGTATGTTATTGAATTCATAAAAACCGGCTAGTCACCGATGAGTATGAAAACAATATTTTATCTTTATACTGCACAGTGGAAAAGAAACGGTGTTAGGAATTATTAGACATGGATTGCCCACTAGGCGTTGTTCCTTCACGATCTTTAAATTGCTTAACTGCTCTTCCCTTGATAGCACTCTACATAAAGTAAAGATGTTGGACTTCTGAGATTCCTACCAATACTAAATAAACTTCCAGGATTTAAATTTTTAAAAAGTAATTTTAAGATGTCTTATATTGTAGTTCACTCAACATTGCCTTTCTTCTCCACAAGGGTGTGTTGCTACTTCAAGCACTAACAAGAAGCAACGGAGCAATCCAGAAAATTGTTGCTTTTGAAAATGCTTTTGAGAGACTACTAGACATTATTACAGAGGAGGGGAACAGTGATGGAGGTACGGTATGAAGTGATTGATTTAAAGAGATTTCTTTTATACGCACTAAATTTCTAACTTCTAGAGAATGCAGTTAGGGAGAGAAATGCTGGCTCATACTTGATACTCTTACGTCATCCTGCTTGATAACGGGCTTGTGTTTTATAGGTTTCTGTCCTCTGTTCGTTTGTTCTCAGACATGTCTGCTGTGTCCCCTCCAACACTGCTTCTGCTACCTTGCTTTCTCACCTTCTGAATGCAGACCCAGTATTACTCTCGCTCTGTCATCTGACTTTTCACCTTTCTGGGCTGCATTCTAGAGGTTTTCTTCCCCCTCACCTGTTCTTGATCTGCTGTTATACCTGTCCATTGAGTTCTTCATTTTCCTTTTCTAAAATTTCTATTTCTTTGGCAGACCTGTTAGGCAGTTATTTATAATTCTTATCCTTGCAGATATTTCAACTTATCTTTTATTTTCTCGAACATGTAGCTTAACATGTTGTAGTCCCCATCTGATAAATAAGGATTTTAAGTCTACTTTTACTCTCCTGGGTTCATTCACATGTTGCTATATGTTTTTTTGGGATCCTGATTATTTGTGTTTGTTGTGATTGTAAGAATTATTTATAGGGATTTAAAGCCCAAGATGAAGATAATTCCTTTCAGAGAAAGTACATCTTTGTTCGTATCAAGCCCTCATACTAGGACTTTCTTGAACCACCATACTCCATCCAATTCAGAGCTTAGATGTCCTTGACCACTCAGGCAGTGCAAATCCAGGCTGCCTGGCATTATTAATACCGGTTAGCTTTTGGTTGATTGTTACTCGAAGGATGTAGCCTGTTGAAATATCTGTTTATTGGGTGGAGCATTCTCTATTAGATTGTCCACCTTGTGTAAACCCTTGACCTTGATTTATTTTCTCTTTGCCCTGTATGATACAATCAAAGATTTTGATTTTCCAAGATAAAGAAATGAATTCTTGGCCAAAAGCTTTTTTTTACATTTGTTTACCTTTCTGAGTATCTGCTTTTCTCTTTAGTTCTAGTTTGCCAAACTGTCCTTTTTTAGTGATTTTGGCTGTTTTTGTGAAATAGTTGTGCCCCAAACCTAGGATTGCAGTAGGAAGAGAAAATGAGTTCTAGTTGTATACATTGAATAAGGTTTAACGAACAGAAAAGTAGGGTTGAATAGACAATTCATATTGATGACAATAGTAGAAAAATCTATCCAGCTCTTTTGTGCTGTAACAGCCTATTTTTGGCAGTAGTGAGCACCACAGTGCTAAGTGAGAAAAACACTGGCTCTGAGGTTTTGTCTAGGCCATGAGTCTTCATAGTTCGACAGTGATGTCATGATGTGGTCATCTCCATTTTATCATAACATCAATTTTTAGATAACTACCATGTTAACAAGTAAAGAGTAGGTATATTAATTCAGAGGTTCGGGATAGAGATAAAAATTGGAGAGTCTCTAGAATATACATGATAGAAGAAACAAGAAGAGAGAAATAAGAAAATCACCGTGGGTTACTTAGAATGTGACAAGAATAAAAAGGGAAGAAAGCTAGGGGGAGAACTTAATAGAGCAACAGAAATGGGTAAAAGAGATGGAGAAAGAATAGAGTTTTAGAAGCCAAAGGAAAAGGGAGTTTCATGAAAGAGATATAGGGACAATAATGCCAAGAGCTTTAGAAGAACAAATTAAGGTATGACTAATTCATTAAACAAATATTTAGTAATTGTCTACTATGAATGTTCCCAATACCTTATCTTTGTATAGTTTGAGAATACAGAGTGTCTTTATATATTACAAACTAACAGAGAAGAAAAATCAAATCAAATAAATATAAACCAATTGCGATCAAGTTCTTAATTGCGAACTAACAGAGAAGAAAAATCAAATCAATAAAACCAGTTGCCATCAAGTTGTTTGGCTTATTGGCAACCCTGCATGTGTCAGAGTAGCACTGTGCTCCATATGTTTTTCATGGGCTGGGTTTTTTTGGAGGTAGATTGCTAGACCTTTTTTTTTTTTTAAAGAACTTCTGGGTCAACTCAAGTCTCCAGCCTTTCAGTTAGTAGCCTAGAGTTTGCACTACACAGGAGTTTTGTGGAAAAGACAGATACTATATAATAATAACTATTACTATTGCTGCTGCTGCTCCTGTTACTACAACGGCAACAACACATGGGCTACGAACTGCAGTCAGCAGTTCAAAACCACCAGCCACTCTTCGAAAGAAAGGGCTTTCTACTTTCCTAAAGAGATGACTACTGTCAACATTGTCCCTATTTTATCAGAGAATGGTAGCCACAAAAATGTACATAATGAACAAAAATTTTTTTTAAAAGAGTTACAATCTCAGAAACTCATGGGCAGTTCTGTCCTGCCCTACAGGGTCGCTGTGTGTCAGCAGCAACTCAGCGGCAGTGAGAGAGAGTAGTCGCAGTGAGAGCGAGCGTTGGTGACCCTCGTCATGGGTCAGGGTGGTCATTCCAGAAGAAGCTATATTGAAGCTGACCTTTGAAGAAAGAATATAAGTTACTGAGGTGAACAGACAGCTAAACACAACAACCAGGAGACCACTGAGGAAGAAACATGCCAGCAGTGATCCATGTTCCGTGAGGCAGCTGTCTTCCTTGGCATTGTGAATATGAATCCTTTTTATAATAAGTTTGGGGCTTGATGTTTCCTTCACTTTATCAACCTTAACTCTTCCATTCTACCTTTTCTCTCCAGGTATTGTAGTGGAAGATTGTTTGATCTTGCTTCAAAACCTGTTAAAAAATAACAATTCCAATCAAAATTTTTTTAAAGAAGGCTCCTATATTCAGCGTATGAAACCTTGGTTTGAAGTTGGAGATGAAAATTCTGGCTGGTCTGCTCAAAAAGTGACTAATTTGCATCTAATGCTACAGGTACACTGCCCTAAAACATAAATGCATGATGGGAATTTGACAGTGGTTCTTTCAAAGAAAAGAAACTGGTCATTTTTGGTAAACCAAGTATTGTAAGTTGATTTCAAGAGAGCTTAAGAATAGCTTTAACATGCAAATTTATATTCAGATAGAGATATAGAGGTGTCCCACCTCAGAGACACACACACTCATCTAGTGCTTGGCTTCAATTACTATTTGTATACGTGGCCATATTGTTTCATCTGCTGTTCCTTCTTTGCCCAGCTAGATTATTTTAAAGGTAATCCAAACAAATTGTTCCTTGATTAGCTTTACATTAGAGAGTATGTTAGAGTTCATTTTAAGTTTTGTGACTTTGCTTTCAATTAGAGATTTAATAACATATCATCAATTTTAACGCTTTAAAGTGTTAAGCTCAACGAGTAAGTTCATTAAGTAAGCGTTTAGTGAGAGTCGAACACTGGGTACTAGGAAAAATACCCCTAAAGATTAATAGGCTGAGTTGGAAGTACATTATAGAAGTTGCACGGACAGAACAACCTGTAGTTTCCTGTAGGCTTTTTTGGTGAACACTCAGTACAAGTAGTAAAAAAGCAAGGATCCGGTCTGTGCCCAATAAAAATTGGAAATCCTTTGAAATACTTTATTAGTAAATTTACTTCCTTTAGCCCCTCAAATCTGTAACAGCCTATTAACATTTTTAAAAAATTAACCCTTTAATGATTCCTGAGGATCTTGATGTCTTTGACATTGCACCTATGTCTCTGAAATTGTGGACTTCAAAACTGAATGGTTAGCCTCTCTGGCAGTCAGTGTCTGAAATCATTACACACCTTGAGCTGCTTACAGAGGTTGATTGACAATGAAGCCGAAGTGTGTTACAGTTTGCCAAGACAACATTTTGTTGTTCCTAGTAGTGACCCTTTTCATTTTCAGAAATGCCCACTTTAGGAGGATAGATTATTTATCTATTAGAATATGCATGAAAATAATTACAAATGTATCTTACAGAAGAACACCATGGTCACAGAGCTTTTTACTTATACTTCCAACATCATTATTCCTGTTTCACTTGTCATTATTATCCAAAATCACACTCACTGCCATTGAGTTGATTCCAATGCATAGCAACCCTAGATGGGGGTTGAAAGCTATACTTCTTTACAAGAGAGGATAGTCTCATCTCTCATCTCAGTCAGTTGTAAAAATTTAGCATTTCCATTTCAAGGCTTTGCCTCCCTATGGTACCAGCCCCTTTCAAATGTCCAGGCCATCTATTTGGGTCCTCTCCCCTGGGCAGGGCCTAGGCTTCTGAGCATCCTCCCATGCTCCAGACCCCAGACATTTCCCATCACCTTGTCCTATTTTCTCCTAGCTGTTTCCCCAGTAGAAGGTACCCAGGGATTTAAAAAAATGAAGCTGTTATTAATAGTGGTAATACATTCTTGGGCTTTCTCTTTCCAATAACATGAGCATTTTTCTGGAAACACTAGGAAAACAAAAAAGAGAGGTAAACATTGAAACTAGTGGAGGAACTTCTTTTATTCTGTAGTTAGGGTATTTGATAAGGGATTATGATGAAAGTGTGCCAGTTTAAAGTACAGTTTTCCAAGTTGTAACCTATAATAGTAGACTACTATAAAGGGAAATATTTGGCATTCTAGTTATGTAGTGAGTTGGTTCTGTAAATACTGTTTACTTTAAAAAATACTTTCAAAGTGAAAAATGAATTGGTTCTGTTCTACCTTAGCAGAGCTTCTTCTCTGCTTTATATTAGTTTATAAAGGACTGAACTGAAGAAGAGAGAGAAAGGGGGAACTAATTAAATTGATCAATGTAACACACCACCACCACCACCACCACCCTACCCCACCCCCGAGGGGAATGAAGAACAGAAACGTGGGTAAAGGGAGACAGAGGACAGTGTAAGATATGAAAATAATAACCTATAATTTATCAAGGGCTCATGAGGAGGGGATGGTGGGGGAGGAAAGGAAAAAGAGGAGTTGATACCAAGGACTCAAGTAGAAAGAAAATGTTTGGGAAATAATGGCGGCAACATATGTACAAATGTAATTGATATATGGATTGTTAAAAAAGCTGAAAGAGTCCCCAATAAAATGATTTATTTAAAAACAGAAACAAAAAACTCAATTCACTATAACCTATTTCCCATCTCAAAGATTTGAGTAGTTGATACAGTCATGACATTATAGGTCGTGAATTAATCATCTGCTGTTCATCCTGCTTTTGTAAAGAATTACCTCTGTATTAGTCTGGATATTTTAGAGAAAAAATCCACAGAAACTCATGTATAAGAGAGAGTTTTATATAAAGGTTAAGGGCACATCAAGAAAACATCTCAACCCAGTGCTGCCCAAGCCCACAAGTCCAACATTAACCCATATATCCAACACCAATCCACAAAGTCCTCCTCCATCTCACAAAACAGACTCAATGATGCCGACTGCAGGAGGAAAGCTGAGTCAGTGAATGTATAAGCATCTCAGCGCTGGCAGGGGTCTCCACACGGGTATTCCAGCACCCAGGGCTGCATCAGGGTAGGTTCATGTGGCTTCTCAGGGATGGCTTGCAGGAAGTGAGCCTTGCCAGTTAAGCAGGGAACTGGCTAAGGCAGCTGCACCCTGGTCCGACCATCACAAAGCAAGAGACCCGAGAACTAGGAAGGCAAGGCTTACTGAACCATTTATCCCTCTGCCCTTCAATTAACCCCACATGTGTTTATCAGCCAGGTTGGCACAATAAACTAACTACCTCAACCTCTGTGTGGCAGTTCTACTTTGTCTGTAAGGTCACCGTGACCCAGAATCAACTTGATTACAATCAATTTGTTTCTCAACCTGTTTGAGGGTATGTTCTTGATTGCTTTATTTAAGATTATTTGTATATCAAGAAAAGATGCCCTCGTGGTGTAGTGGGTTAAATGATGATGATAACTGGAAAGTTGGCAGCGTGAACCCACCAGCCACTTTGAAGGAGAAAGAGGAGGTAGCTTACATCTGTAAGGCCTTGGAAACCCAAGGGGTTAGCTCTACTCTGTCACTATGAGTTGGAATCAGCTTGATGGCAGTTCGTTTGGGTTTTTTTGTTGTTTGAAGTTTTGTGCATCTAATGAAAATGCTTCATTGTTTCCCTATTTGGATACATGTGTTGAAATTGGAATTATGAATCATCACAATTATAATCACAGTAAACTCTGAGCTCCTGAAAGTTGAAATTGATCCAATTGGGGATTTTTCATTCAAATTTTGCAGATTAAATTTAGGGATACATTATGTTGAAAGTTTTTTTTATCACAAAACACATAAATTGTTCATAGACTTAAACTTTTATGCTGCTTTTTGGGTCGATACTGCCAAGGATGCTCAGAAAGCCCATTACCTTAGGAGAGACTGTGTTGCTGGATAGTGGCTGTTAGTAGAGCTTCCCCATGTGCTCAGATTCAGAATGAATGGTCTCTCTTTGCTCACTGTCACATCTGGCTCTGGAAATTCAGTGATGCTTACTCTTGCTGTAATCACACACATCATTAATAAAGATGCCCAACTGACAGTACATTTAAGAATTGTTCATTTTGTTGAGTGCATCTTGATTATGTTTTCAAAAACAAGTCTTTGTCAGTTAAAGATACAAAAGTACTCGTGGGAGAAAGTATGTATTGCCTGGAATTCACTTTAAATATTAAAATAATAATATAACAATATGAGTAGATTAAAAGGGTGGGGGTGGGAGTTGGGGAGAAGGCAGGTGTCTAACTGGAGGAGCCCCAGGCCAGAAACAATTGGGGTAACCCTAAAGTCTCTTATAACACCAATGTAATGGTCACCCTCTGATAATGGATGTTAAACTAGATGTTTATTACTTGCCAGTTTAACTACTGGTTGAGTCCCCCTCGCCCCCCAAACCTTAGTTGCTAGCACTAAGAATACAGCTGCTACAAACCATGTTGTTTATTTTTTGTATCATCACTTTGTTTATTTTTATACATCAATAAGGAGCCCTGGTGGTCCTGTGGGATCCGCAGTTCAAACCCACCAGTCACTCTGCAGGAGAAAGATGAGGCTACTTGCTCCCATAAAGATTGACAGTCTCAGAAACTTTATATAGGGTAGCTCTGATTTGGGTTGGAGTAGCTTATAGAAATAAAATTGTTTTGGTCTACCCTGTTAAATCAATGATTACTTTGTATAGCTACTATAAATAAGTTTTCTATTTGAAGATTTAACTGCACTAAGCATTCAGTTGCAGTTACTGTTTTCTGTTTCTGAAGCCCATGTTCGGGTTCAGACTAACTATAGGATCATACACTATAGGACTTAATTAGCATCAAGAGCCCTACTGGTACAGTGGTTAAGTGGTCCGCAGTTTGAACCCACCTACTGCTTCCTGGGAGAAAGATGTGGCAGTCTACTGTGTCAGAAGGATTCCAGTTTGGAAACCCTATGTCCTACACGGTTATTTACTATGAGTCAAAATCAACATAAGGTGATGGGCTTGGGCTTTTTGACTTAAGAACCATCAAGGTTAACTCTGCCTAATGCACCATCTTCTAGATCCCCAAGATTGATGTAGCCTTTCGTGATGCATTTCTCGTTCAGAGACAGTATCACACTTGAAGCCATTCTGTTGTTAATTGTCTTTTCTTTGACAAGAAATCTGCCACCCTGCAACATCTTTATGTGCTCATTTATTCATTCATTGACTGGGTGCCTTGTTACAAACGCTAGGCTGGTTGCTTAGAATACCTCTGCTTTCTGGGGACTCAAAGCCACTTGAAGGAGACAGAAACTCAAGCAAGTTGCAGAATGTAATGGAGCTGAACTGTTGCCCAGGGGTGGGGGTGGGGTGGAGGGTGGGACATCGCCATCAGCAGACTGAGCTAGCGAAATGAATCCTTCCCAAACATTCTGTTCACTTCAATCCAATCTACCTTAAGGCTTCTCAGAACCTTAAACATCATTGTTTTTCTTCTTGTAGCTTGTTCGAGTACTGGTGTCTCCCAACAACCCTCCTGGTGCTACGAGCAGCTGCCAGAAGGCCATGTTCCAGTGTGGGTTGTTGCAGCAGCTCTGCACGATCCTAATGGCTACTGGGGTTCCTGCTGATATTCTGACGGAGGTAAATTCCGGCATTCCCTAACTGATGTTGACTATACTTCTGTGGTTTATCGGTCTTCAGTATTTACTTTCTACCCTGATAGAGGAAGACTTCATCTTTCCCCCATATAACCCCCCAACTTTACTTTCCTTTGTCACCCCAGGACCACTGGGATAAAATCTCTATTTAAATTAGATTTCAAGGTTTATATTTTTATAACCCACCACTGGTCTGTCAGTTTGTCATACTGTGGTGGCCTGTGTGTGGCTGTCATGCTGGAAGCTGACAGTGGTATTTCAAATGCCAACAGGGTCACCCAAAGTGAACAAGTTTCAGCAGAGCTGCTGGACCACGGACAATGAAGAAGAACTCAGCTCCCCACTTGAGTGTTCTGTAGTTTAGACTGTGATGGTCTCCTCAATTTTGGCCCCACACCTTACCCCCGTTCTCTGCTTTGCCCAAGCATGACATTATTGTTATAATTTTCTTCAGAGAACAAACCTAGTCTCCTGTAGTCTAGGGAAAAGATCTGAAGTGGGAAGGGCCTAAGAGATGGTTTACAGATACACTTTGTACCAGTCTGTAACCACCCCCACCCCCACTTCCCTGAAGCGTGATCCTTAGCGGATTGAATCTTTCATGGTCCAGTAGATCAAAATGGCACATTCCCTGTGGACATTCTATTCCATAGACTCTCAGATTGTTATTTTTACCGCTTTGATAAATACGTTACCTATATCAGCTATTGATTTTGTATCCCATAGTTGGTTAAAATCTCATCACCTTTACCCCTTTTGCTTATGGGATAATATTAAAATAAGACAATTATTTACTGTTACTTTGATGCATTTTAGTAGGGAGAACTAAGTGCACACGCTATCTTTATTAGAAGCCTATTCTTAATCTTTAAAATTGTAATCTTGAGAAAGTGTTATATCCTTATTGCTGTTACTGATTTTTTTGGTGTCTGGATTTTCGTCATTGAAATGCAAAAATATACAGTGTATGTGTAACATTTTCTTTTGAAAACAGATTTCCTTCCTTGACTGACTTCTCTAAATGTTCTTTTTTTCCCTCCAAACAGACCATTAACACTGTATCAGAAGTTATTCGAGGTTCCCAAATAAACCAGGACTACTTTGCTACTGTAAATGCTCCTTCAAGTCCACCGAGGTAGGAAAAGAGAAGTAGCGAGATTCCCGCGAGCAAAGATAAAATGACTTTGGGTTCTTATGTACGTCTTATGAGACATCATTCTTGGTAGAGTGGAGGGTCAGAGAAAAAGGGGAGACCTCAAGGAGGTGGATTGACACAGTGGCTGCAACAGAGGACTCACGCACAGCAGCCATTGCAGGGTGGCGCAGGACCTGGGCGACGTTGCCTTCTGTTGGAGATAGGTTGCTGTGAGTTGGCACTGGTCTGATGGCACCTAACAACCACCTCAGCATTCCTATAAGAAGTTCTATGTGTTTTTAGGCTAGAAATTACCTGACAAGATAACTGTGTGGGTATTTTTACAGTGTGTGGTCTTGGACATTCAGGTGTTTGCGTACAAATGTGGTCCCTCACGTGCCCTGCCTGTGTGCCTTACACAGGCAAATCACTTCCTGCCTGCACTTTCCTTTTCTGAGCTCTGGTAAGGAGGTGACTGCTGGGATTCAGTACCAGAATTATTGATTTGTTTTATTGAATTGTGACAGTTCGTTTTACTCTTCTGTTTTTCAATGCCAACAGACCAGCAATTGTGGTACTTCTCATGTCCATGGTTAATGAAAGGCAGCCATTTGTATTGCGCTGTGCAGTTCTCTACTGTTTCCAGTGTTTCTTATATAAAAATCAAAAGGGACAAGCCGAAATTGTGTCAACACTCCTGCCTTCCACCATTGATGGTAAATAATTTAGTTCTGCTTTCTGTTTTAAAAAGTGAATGCTTCTGGTTTAAAGCTTTTAATTGAATTTGTCCCTCTGTGTTTTAACCCAGAATACTTTGCATACTTAGAAAAATCTGGGGTTCCAAAGCCTGAAGATTAAATTAGAGAACAGGTTTTGGAGTCAGACTAGGGCGTCATTGTGGAATTTCTCCTTCTCTTGCTGTGTAACTCTGGGCAAGTTCTTTAATTTGAGCCTTATCAAGTAATGTGGGGATGATGTTAATTGTCTCTGTGAGGATGATTCCTCATTAGAAACATTGTGAAGATTAATGCAATTGCATATTTAAAGCACTTACCCCAATACCTAGCATATAATAGATACTCAATAAATAGAAACTGTTACGAATAGTAATTACCACACTATAAATCTTAAAATTAAATCATATGTAATTTTCTATTCTAGTTTTCTAGTATAGGTTAGAGACATTGTCCCTTTCTCTCGCTCTCTCTCTTTTTTTGATACTGCCTCTCATAGCTGTTTAAATATTTCTTTTTACCTGAGATAAATTATTTGTTGAAAATATGTAACTTATTGTATTTTATCCAAATCCATTTTCAAAGTAAAGAAAGCGAGACCTTGGCTATAGGAATCATTTTAAATGTGGCATTTTCTTGAATTTGTTTTATAAATGTTTTTAATTAGTTTTGGAGACTATTATTATCATCAATATGATGCCTAACGTATTTTCTAAAAGAGGAGCTGAAGCCAAGGGGTCAAATAGAAAGTAAATGTTTAGAAAATGATGGCAACATATGTACAAATATGCTTGATAACAATTGATGTATGGAAAAGCTTTAAGAGCCCCCAATAAAATGGCTAAAAATTAATTAATTAATTAATTAAAAGTATCTTCTAACATATCTTTGTTCTGCAGCTTTTCCCCCACATGCCTTTCTTTGGTTGTTCTTTTGTTTAAAAAAGCAGACTTTAAAAAATTATTTTGAGATTGCTATGTAATAATATTAAGTAACAAATTTTAAATAGTACCTAGTAGTCTGACATACCATTTGTGTGCATAGAAAACAGTTTCTTTTAGTCTACTCACACATCTTCTCATCTGCCTGTCACCTTTGTAGCAACGGGCATTTCCGTCTCAGCCGGGCAGTTGTTATGTGGAGGTCTGTTTTCTACTGATTCACTTTCAAACTGGTGTGCTGCTGTGGCCCTTGCCCATGCTTTGCAAGAAAATGCTACCCAGAAAGAACAGTTGCTCAGGGTTCAACTTGCTACCAGTATGGGCAACCCTCCGGTTTCTCTGCTGCAACAATGTACCAACATCCTTTCACAGGTAACATGGCATTGCACCTTCCCTAAGGAGCAAAGAACTTTGACTGTACAGTTTGGTGTCAGGGATAGACAGCTCATGTGTGAATGTCTGTGGTGGATGAGTTGATTATAACCAGAATCAGTTTTATGGAGAAAAGCCATAGGTATTCTGGCAGGGTTTTATTTACCAAATAATTCTAATGTCTGTATCATGATGGAAACACAAAGGGGACATGATGTTCTGGGCAGAAAGATCTTTTTTTGGATGTTTTTCTTGTCTGTTTCTTTGTTTGTTTTAAAAGCATCTATAGTGTCCTATCATTTCATTTTCTCTTTCTGCTCAGCAGCTGGATTTGACTCAGGTTATGAGTGGAATAGCATAAGGTAGCTCATAGATATGTCCATCCCTCTTTCTCTTCAGTTGCAGCAATTGATAGAAAGCAAAGATAGAATACCATGCCATGCTTATTTAGTTATATGGCATACCTCTTGCTTGATGTGTGTAAGATTTCAGTTCCCCAAATTATATAATTTATCCAGCAAGATGTATAAAGTCATAACTAAATTATTTTTACAATCTTCTAGACCAAGGCTGGGGAACCTTGTTTTCTGCCAAGGGCCATTTGGATATTTATAACATCATTCATAGGCCATGCAAAATTATAAGCTTAATTAGCCTACTATTTTTGGCCAAACATTTAATTAGTCTACTATTTTTGGTCAAACATTTAATTAACTCACGTAATGTGATGGCTGGAACTGCTTCTCTTTGGTGAGGTGTGAGATGCTAGCTGGTACTGATGACTTTTCAGGTCTCAAATGGCTCTGGGGTCAGATGTTCCCCACCCCTGCTGTAGACGCTTAATGAAACTACAAAGTTCTATTGAAGTATGGATGCTCATGTTTAGTATCAACACTGATTAGGTGGTTTGCCCACATGAACTTATCCTGGCTGCTACAGCTCAAGTTCATGCTTTAGCAAAACTATGAAGTCACTCGGGAAGAGTGAGAATGTGGCTGAGTAACATTGTTCTTCCCACTGCTTGCTGTCGCAGTGGGATTTTCCTGCTTCCCCATAATACTATGCTGTGTAAGTCTTCAGTTTTTAATTTTGTCAGTCACGAGATTGTTCCTTATTGTCAGCTTTTATAAGTGGGCTTCAAACAACAGTAGTTCCATCATAGAAAATTGAAAACTTTAAAATTAATTATGATGAAAATAGAGTTGAGTGTTTTTGAAAGTTATCTCACTATGATTAAGAAAATGCATTTTATCTTTAATCTTTAGTGTTAACAAAGCTACCCCCAAATATTCATATCTTTGCTTATTTAATATTTGGCATGGCTAAGTTCTATTGGGGAAAAAAAACTTCTTAAACTGAACAGCAGTATTAACTCTCTGATCCCCATCACCTCAAATTTCATGTTGTAGAGTAATTAAAATTCGTGAGCAATGAAAACTCCTCAAGAGAGTGGTGTCCTTTCTCCTCTAAGTAACTGAGTGTTACGTACCCACTCCTCACTTAGATTCCCAAAAGTAAGCAGTATACGAAAATGGTAGAAACTTTTTTCTGTTTCAGATCATCCTTTTATCCAATTTTTTAATTTAGAAAATTTATCAGAAACATAATATAGATAAGATTTACTCATGTGTTTTCACTGTGACAAATCCAGTTATGGAATATTCCTCTGGAAAAAGATGCATGGAGGAGGAGACAAAACTGGATATAACTGGGCTGTGGGACTAGAGGGCCTTTAGCTTCAGGACTTCACTTTCCTCCTGTGTCAATTCATAGTTTCCCTTGGGGTGTTGCCTCTCGGGCTGCACGCCCACCCCTGCAAGCCCTGTGTGCAGTATCTCTGGACGTATCTGCCTTAGAGGCATGGTACGCTATGCTCGGAGCTTCCTCTGAGCGTGCTGGGAGCATCACCATGCTCACCGAGGCCAACTGTCATTAAATGACAACCTTGGATTGTCATAAAATTTTCAGCATTTTTTCCAAACCATCTTAGATAGATGTCTCTTTTTCCTCCCTTTCCATCCCACAGCAAATTTGAGCTCAAGGGCCTCAGGCTGTATAAGAACTGAGAATCCAGAACAGTATCTGCATGCGCACAACACACACACACACACACACACACACACACACACACACGGTATTCCACGTGCAGCAACTAAGCACTTATGTTGAAGAGGCCAGCCCTGCGTAACAGCTGCACACTAACCTCCACGGGCCGACTGCGGTGCGGGGAGAGCCTTCCTCCAGATAGGATAGTAGATTTTTTTCATTGTCATAAATGTAAAACTTGAAAAGTGCGGAGTAGGTATAGTTTAAAATTATCCTTTATTACTTAAAATGAATACACATTTTTAATAATGAAGGATTAGAACTATCTTGTCCCACAATATTTTGCATTTGTAAAAAGATTGTGAAAAAGTATTTGAGGTTTTTTTTTTTTGTTTCAGATTTAAATCTTCTAAAGCAGTACTATTTACAAATAATTTTTAATGTATAATTTGCAGGGTGATAAGATCGACAGACGGGTATGTATCTCCTGATTAAGCTTAGGCATTTTCCTCTTACAAGCAAGGCTTTTTCTTTGTCTTGGGTTTTGCTGATTGTTTTTTTAACTGCTTGTGTGAAGTTATGTTCTACTTACACTTTCCTTTGTCAGCAAGTTCACGTCTGTCGTAAGTAACTCTCCAGTTTTCCTCCACGGGCTCTGTAGTGGTGTTACTGAGGACTGTAGGACTCTGAGCTACACTTGAGCTTCCTCCGGGTACTTGCACTTCTGGAATTCCTTGGGTGTGGTTTTGGGGTATTTTTTTGTATTTCGTTTTCCCAAACTTGTTTCTGTATGTCTCCTGAAATCTTTCAAAAGGAAGTAACATTTAGAATGAAAAGTTTTTCTTTAGTTACTTAGTATGTGAAAGAAGGTGACATCATTTTTGCTTCAGTTATCTCATATGTGCAATAGTAAGTATAATTTTATAATTTGAAATATTTTAAGTAAAATATTTTGAATCACTGTAGTTCCCATATCTACTATTGAAGATTTATTTTTTATGTGTATGTGGGGGGTGGTAATTTGTGTTTGCTTTGCGGTTTTTTTGTGCGTGTGGGGGGAGGGATTTAAATTTTTAGTTTTGCTTTTTATTTTGGTTTTTTTGAGTGTTTAGCCAAAAGGTATGTACAGTGTTCATGTTTGAGCATGTGTTCAATTGGACAGTGAGTAGTAATAAGATTTTGTTCGTAATTATATTTTTGAGTCTGAGCATGATTTAACACAGTATTGGCTGCAGCTTTAATCTAAGAATGTTTTATATTAGAGGAAGTGTTATAAATACATGTCAATCACTTAAAACATAATTTTAAAAAGAAAACTTATGGTAAATTAGTAAGTAGACCTCTTATGTTCAATCTGATGAGTTGTGAGTATTGAATATACATCTATAATAATCACTCACAATAAGAAATCACAATAATAATCACTCACAATAAGACATAGAAATTTTTCATAATCCCAGAAAGTTCCATTGTGCCCTTTTCCTGTTCTCTAGCCCCAGGATAACCACCAGAAAATAATTGATTATGATGCTCCAGAACTTTGTTTCAGTACTCAACATGAGAAAGTGTTAGCTTTTCATATTTTTAACAAACAATGCAAAATTACTAAAATGAAAATACATAAATTAGGAAAAAGAGAATTTTTGTTTAGAAAATGCAATATGATGTTAGGTACTGTTAAGTTCGTTCCAACACATAGTACCTGCATGCTATAAAAAGAAATGCTCCCCAATCCTGCACCATCCTCATAATTGTTCCTCTGGTTGAACCCATTGTTGCTGACACTATGTCAACCTATCTCTTTGAGAATTTTTTTCTGTTTTAAGGTGGACCCGCTATTTGACCAAGCATGATGTCCTTCTCCAGAGATTGTTAACTCCTGAGAATACCTCCAGAGTATATGAGATGAAGCCTCACCATCTATGCTTTTAAGAAGCATCCTGGCTGTTCTTACAGCTCAGATTTGTTTGTTCTTCTGGCAGTCCATAGTACATTTAATATTTTTTCACCAACATCATGATTCAAAGGCACCAATTCTTCTTCAGTCTTCCTTACTTACTGTTCACCTCTTAGATGAAGATACGCCCCTGACTTAGGTCTGGTAAACTTTAGTCCTCAAAGTAACATCTTTGCTCTTGACACTTAAAGAGGTCTTGTGCAGCAGGCAGCCTAATGTTTGGATTTCTTGATTGCTGCTTCCTGCGGCATGAGTTGTGGATCCCAGTAAAATGAAATCCTTGACAACTTCTATCAGTTTCTCCATGGATCATGATGTTCCTTATTGAGCTAATGGTGAGGCTTTTTGTTTTACATACACTGAGGTGTAATCCATAAGCAGGAGCTCTGGTGCCATCGTGAGGACACAATGGGCTGCTAACCACAGGGTCTCCAGTTCGAAACCACCAGCCCTTCCGCAGGAGAAACATGGGACTTGGTACACCCATAAAGCCTGACAGTGTCAGAAACTCTCAGGGGCCGTTCTCTTCTGCCTTCTGGGGTCACTGGAAGCCGACATCAACTCATGGCAGTGAGTTTGAGTTTTAAGGAATCCATACTGCAGAGTTTAGTATTTGATCTTCATCAAAAAATGCATAGATTAGGAAAAAGAGAATTTTTGTTTAGAAAATGCAATATGATGTTAGGTACTGTGAAGTTCATTCCAACTCATAGTACCTGCATGCTATAAAAAGAAATGCTCCCCAATCCTGCACCATCCTCATAATTGTTCCTCTGTTTGCTTTTAGCAAGGATGACACAATATACAGAATTATCAATGTATTGCATGTTGTTAACAGTCATCCCTCCAATCCTCCAACATGTTGTATTGGACAAATCATAGAATTGTGCAACTAGAAGGAATAATAATATAAGAACAGTTGTAGACCACTTACTACATATATAAAATGCACTGTTCTAAGCTCATTATACATAGGAGCTGATTTAATCTACTATGGAATACATATTAACTAATACCCAATTTGAAGATGAGAGGGAAAAAGAAATAGTGGCCTAAGGGTTCACAGCTATTGAGTTGTAGAACCTGGGTGTAAATTCAGACTCCACTTCAGAGTCTGTGCCCTGAACCTGCATGTTTTAGATCATAGAATCCAACTGCCTCTGTCTCCTTACACTATGAAAATGGGGGCCAGACAGCATACTGTACTAGTACCAGGTAGGGCAGTAAAGAAAGGGTTTGCTCTCATAACTTCTTTTCACTGATGCTTTACTGTCTTTCCTACAATGAAAGCTTCAGGTCTTAAAGAAGTACATTTATTTTTTAAGATGGTAATAAAATAACATGACTTAGAAATAAAAATTATATTAGAAAGTATGTCATAGAAAGCCTTGGTCCTCCCTCTGTCCTGGTGCTCAGCCTTCTATAACTTTTTACTGGACTTCACATTTTTTTATGCAAAGGTAATGTATTGAACCTTTCATTCATAGCTAGTATAGTGCACTTAGAACTAACATTTTCATGATATTGAGTCTATAGAAGAGAATGATATCTTTCTAGTAATTTAGGTTTCCTTTTGTGCCCTTGGGGGTACTTTATACACTTATTTGTTTAAATTTTGTACCTTCTTGACATGGTTCATGCTTGAGTACTTTATCTGTTTTCTTGCAACTGAAAAGAGACGGTTTCATCCTACTTTCTGTCTGGTTATATTCAACTTTGCTATTATGGTCTTTTAACTCCAAAAGACATAAGTGTAAAAGATTCTGTTTTCAGGCTAAGTTTGTTGTTGTTTGCTGAGTGATTTGATAGAATCCAGTGTGTATAATGTAGGCATATTTGGTAACTGCACATAGTCATTTTGAATTATAACAAACATGGGTAAACAGGAGAAATCAACAAAATATTTGTATTTTTAACTTGAGTAGGTAATTTTAACAGCACATAGCCAGTTGAGAGTAGCTATATGTTTTTGGCTTTTTAGTTTATATGGTGTAAGTAACATATGATCAATTAGGAACACAGTAGTACAGAAACCAGGAAGAAAAATAATAAATCACATAAAAAACTAAATCCATGCTTACTCAGAAAAGCATTTGAAAAGGTCTGGTTTGAACTTCTTACATTTAATACTAATATACCCCAAAACAGATTACAGAGAGGCCAAACTATTGGCATCAAGATTTCTATAATGAGAGAGCTCTGATGGACAATTTGGAATCGTTGCCTTTGGAATGTTTTCTGAAATTGCCACACAGCCATGCATTACTTTGCTGTTTTTAATTTTTATTTTTCTTAAAAACAACACAGATTTTAGTAATGTGAGAATATGTCACATAGGTGATATATGAACGGCTTCAGAACGTCCTTCAAAGTTTTGTTATTTCCGGCTATATTTTTCCATGGACATTTTGAAAACCCCTTCATACATGTTTAATTAAAATTTAGAAAACATAATTTTGATAAACATGCTAATATTCAGTATTGTTTAAGTATTCATGGCAGCAGCATAGTTGGTGGTTTAGGTCACTTACCTGATTTGTTAAAATTCTTAATTGTTTTGTGAATTTTATAATTAATTGTTTTTTATCTGATTTCCTCAGGAATTTGACTAACCTAATAAAGAAATTATTTCTTTGTATTTTGCTTGTTGTTTTGTGTTTTGAAGGAGGTGAAATTTGTCTTTTTATTAGGAACTTAAAAGAAAAACAAAATCAATCCTAAAACACTTTAAATATCAGCAGATTTGCCTGGTATGTTTTTGGTAATGTTTCAATTGGATTTTTTTTTTAAGTGTCAACATCTTGCATTGTATCTTATGAAGACCAGGATTTTCTAATCATATTTTTAGATAACCAATTACATGCTTATAAGCATGAACATTTTTCCTGTTTATTTTTTGGAAGTGCAGCCTGTGGAGGATACAAGAATACATTCTCTTATGCAATTGTTTTAATCTGAATTCCTGAACATCTTTTATAAGATGTGCAAATGCTTTTTATAATAAGGAGAGATCTTAGTGCAAGTCTTATTTGAAAAAGGCTGAAATGAATGGAAATAGACTTTTATTAACTTATCTGTTGCAGGGAAGCAAGATACAGACGAGAGTTGGCTTATTAATGTTGCTTTGTACTTGGTTAAGCAACTGTCCCATTGCAGTAACACATTTTCTTCACAATTCAGCCAATGTCCCATTTGTATCCTTTATGTGTTAGTAAGATATGTGTCTTTTATCTTTTATGTGTAAGTATTTTATCTATTTTACCTTTTAATTATAATTAGTACTAGGCCCCAAATGTATAAATTCTCTTTATACTTGGGCAGCAACGTTGTAAACTGTTGTGGTGTGTTTTAGGTTGGGTTCTTTAGAGAAGCAAAACCAGGGATATATTGATAAAGATATAGATAGATCTGTATCAAGGAAATGGCTCACACTGTAGAGAAACAGGCAATCCAGGCAGGCTCCATGCCCATGGGTCAAATGTTATACGGTGGAGGCTTCTCATGTAGCTTCTGGGGCTAATGAACTCAAGATTGGCAGGAACGTAATGGGCCAGTGGCAGAGAATGATGACTCAAAGATTGGCAGTCCAGATTGTAGGTCAATTGACTCCCAGGATCATTAGTCAGTATGACAGGTTGTTGGCCCAGGTCCAAAGAACCAGAGGTCAATCAGCCAAATGAAAGATCCACACCCAGCAAAAAAGTATCTATCTCCTTAGAAGGAAGCTGGTCACACCCCTTGAGGAGACTTTCTTTCAACTGTATCAACAACATAAGGGGATTGCACTCTACCCTGATCTTCATGGAACTGCTTGACTGCTCCTAGCGTCCCCCATCATGGAGTTGATTACATTATGTTGGATCATATCATGATTTGCTAGACACCAACTACTCAACTACTGAGAATCCTGACCCAGCCAGGTTGACATAAAGCTAACTAAAAATAAAGTGGTGAAGATGCTTAAGGGGTTGTGTGTGTGTGTGTGTGTGTGTGTGTGTGTGTGTGTGTGTGTAAGTGTATATATACCATTGCTTATGTTTTAGAATGAAAGGGAATTGGATTATATAGATAGTGGGGTTTTTTCCTAAGAATATTTACATGAAATTTGTCTAATTAAAATGGCAAAATAAAGTACTCTCAGTATATTCTGAATCATGACCCTCCTTAACAAAGGTTTCAGCTTACAGGACAAATTGCAGAAAATCTTGGAGAGGAAGAGCAGTTAGTCCAGGGCTTATGTGCCCTCTTATTGGGCATTTCCATTTACTTCAACGATAACTCGCTTGAGAACTACGTGAAGTAAGTCAGGGGAGATAATGAAGGGAAGGGACTTACTAATGTCACTGAGAGATCATGTTCTGTTGTTTTGTTTTTTAACATCTCAGTATACGTATCTTGTAGAGAAAAACTGAAACAACTTATAGAGAAGAGGATTGGCAAAGAGAATTTCATAGAGAAACTAGGATTCATTAGCAAGCATGAATTGTATTCCAGAGCATCTCAGAAACCCCAGCCAAACTTCCCAAGTCCTGAATGCATGATATTTGATCATGAGTTTACGAAGCTAGTGAAAGAACTTGAAGGTAAGACTCAAAACGTTATATTAATATTCACTAGCAGTAGCTGTGGTGTATTGTGTACGTATTATTATGTAATATGCAGACTATATAATAAGCTAAGAAGCAAGGTGTTTCAAGTGAACACTTGTTTATTTAACAAATTTGGCTCCCATTTGACAGTTTTCCTCACAAAATTGTCTAGTGATATTACATTTTTTACAATGCATCAAAATTCTTATTAGTTGTGTTCTGGCTGTTCTTTTTCTATTAAATGCACTCTTCACGTTTAGCACAGTAGTTAAACTATACTTGACTGTTTTACCTGAATGTAAATGATGTACATCTGGCAGTAACAAACACTGAGCCAGAGTGACTGGCTGTGATGGTTGAGGATCTGTGTTCACTTGTCTGCGCCAGGAGTCTCAGTGGCATTGTAGTTATGTAATGGTGTTGTCATCTGAGGTGTCATCCTCCAGTTGTACATCATGCCGATCTTCCAAGAAAGGCCCAGTCTTTGGAACCTAACCATGTTGATAAGTGAGGAGTAGTGTACTCCCGTCCCCCTGTTCTCTTATCTTTGTTTTAAAGTAAATGTCGGCATTCTGGCCTCACGTACATTACTTTTTAATAGAGCACCATACTCACGTAAAACATCTCTTATTTTGTATACCAATCTATTATTTTGCAAAAGCGTGACCTCAGGAGATAGTTTGGGTTTAGGTTTAGAGAGTACTGTACTTTAGGGCAATATTTCAGAGAGTCTTTTGGTCTCTGCTGGTCCAGCCAATCTGACCTTTTTACAAATTCGAGTTTTGTTCCATCTTTTCCTCCTATTCTGTCAGGGCCCATTAGAATGGTAAGTGGTAATAGCCAGGCACATCTACTTCTGGTCTCACGGTAAAGGAGGCTGTAGTTTTTTGTTGGCCAGTAGCCCTGTAGACTAGTTTCTTCTGGGAGACTTCAGTTTCTTAAATTAAATGTTAACTGGTACTTTCTATTACAGGTGTTATAACTAAGGCTATTTATAAGTCCAGTGAAGAAGATCAAAAAGAAGAAGAGGTAAAGAAAACATTGGAGCAGCATGACAGTATTGTGTCTCACTATAAAAATATGATTCGAGAGCAGGTAAGTCTTAATGAATTGTGTGCATTTCCTCATTTACTGACTCATTATGCTTTAGTGGAGACTTAATTCTGGCACTTCAAATGAAAGAAGATACAAAAAATAAAACTCATTTTTTCCCTAACCCAAAGCACCTGAGTAGTCAACAAATTGAGCATTTAACATATGTGAACACTGAGCAGTATGGTGTATATACAGACATGTTACCAGATCTCAGTCTCATGGAGCGATAAACCCATAAATATATTATTGTAGCATAATAGAAAATGAAGTCCAGTGAAGGTGTTAGGTCAGCACTGAAAAGCAAGTAATCCAGCTCGGCAATTTCCCCAAACAGGGCCTTAGGGCAAGCAAAGAAGCTGAGTTCTAAGGAGATGGGTAGAAATAACCTAGGCAAAAGGAGAGGTAGGAGAGAGCAGGAGGTGACATAACAAATAGCATGGCTTTATTTGAAGTAAGTGGTGCTGGCATCTACATAGAACATTCTAGCAGCTGTATAAAAGAGAAACTTGAGTGACAAGACTGTGGGAAAGGAGGCCATGTGCAGGATTGTTGTGTTAGCTATGAAAACAATTAGGGTACAGAGAGCGTCTGACGATTATAATAGCTACTACTTATTGTTTACTGTGGTTCATGTGCTCACTAAACATGTTTTAAACACCATATCATTTTAATTGTCACGACATCCCTACAGAACAATATCTCCAGTTTAAAATCAGTGAGGATTCTGAGTCTTGGAGGATTTAAACTGGCCCAAGGTCACTCAGTAATGGGTCAAACCAGAATTCAAATACAGGTAGATTTCAGAGACTCTAAAAGGTCATGCTGTGTTGTATAAGGGAACACATTTAGTAATGTGGAAACTAAGGAAGGTAAAATTGTTAGATCTCTTCTGGGGAGAAATATACCTCCTCCTTGGCTCTACACGAGAAAGAATTCATGCCAAGCCTGGTTTGTGATCCAAGTGAGTTTTATGAGCGTTAGAAGAATTGTCAGGTTTACACAGACACCCGCGGGGCCCCTCACCCCGTGCAGCCTCCCTAGAAGCTGCTCGGAAAGTCACGCAGTCAGCTCCAGGCTCCTGCCTTTTCAATTATTCCTCAGGGAGGCGTGGTGGACGACCCTGGTCGACCCCATTGGCTGAATTGAATTAACCTGTCCTAGGTGGGCCGATCCAGGTACAGCATCCACCAGGTATGTGTACCTCCCCTTCCTGGCCGGAAACCAGAACCTCTGAGCACCCACAGTGTGCCACTCGTTCATGGGCAGGTAGCTCGGACCTCTCAGCATGTGTAATGGACGCCCCACTCCCTGTGCTAGCTACCTAACAAAATGACAGGACTTGTCATGATCGGGTGTGGGTGATCCATAGGTTTCTGTCTCAGGTGTCTGCCGACTTATAGGGACCCTGTCAGGCAGGATGGAATGGCCCCTGTGGGTTTCCAAGACTGGAGCTCTCCCTTGGAGTCAGACCTTCTCTTCCTCGTGGAGCAGTCCTGGTTTCAGCAGCTCGCAGCCCAACCAGGCTTCCTGAGCTGTCTGAGACAAGAAAAATGTCATGCTGACTTGTTAGAATTTAGCTGAAAGTACATTTTTTAAATCCACCTATTGACTTTTTGGTAGAATTCCACTGTCTTCAGCCCCTTAAACTTTACCTTACTTTTCTTGCAAAATGTCCTTGTTTTTCATTTTGTTCCCCCAATTAACGTCTCATCATGGGATCTTTCAGTGCATTCTGGCAAGCCCTGGAGATTCTAAATTTATATTACCTGAAAAATTATATCACTCTTGTTGTTAAATTTCTAATGTCACTTTAAAAATTCACTGGTAATAGTCACTGTGGGGCTATTACAGCCTCTTGCCTGCTGCTTGCATACCTCTGTGACAGGTGGAGCAAGACAAGCATAGACTTAATGGTGGAACCCTATAAATTGAGAACTTTTGTGTGATTTATTTCCACCGTAGGAGATATTATTATGTTTTAAAGTCGAATGAAAATATATTTGAATATTAGTTTTCAATCTTAGCTATTATGTGAACAAACTTAACAGTAATGTGGAATTCTTTGATCTAACATTTTTTAAAATCATTTTATCGGGGGCTTGTACAACTCTTATCACAATCCATCCATCCATTGTGTTAAGCACATTTGTACATTTGTTGTCATCATCATTTTCAAGACATTTTCTTTCTTTTTTTGT